GTTTTTATTTATTATATTAAATCATTATTATTCTTGGATGCTGGGATGATATAGTAAATCCATGGCTGTAGCTGTATCAGGAATTAGCATACGTTTTCTGTGAAGCATCAGGTAGTAAATATTTGGGCTGTGCTTGTTGGTCACAGGCCTCTGTTTCAATATTGATCTTTGTTGCAGTACTGATCTTGTAACATAAAATAGACAACAGATAACCAGATTTATATTACAAACACAGGCCTTAGGCCAGAGTCAGCCCAAAAGGTGCAATTTGCTGACCTTTATCTCTTATATGTGCTGGGAGAATTTGGATCAGTGAATTTATTATTTCTGCCTGAATAAGTTGGGAAGCTGAATGTTCTAGGTCAGTGTGTATATTTTAAATGGAACAAAAGAAAAAAGATACTTCTATGGCACATACATTTCAGAAGTTGCTTTCACTCATTTATCAAATTTTAAATGCCCACTGTGGTTCAAGTACTGAGCATTTGAATAGTGATGAATTAGAGAAAGGGTTCCTGCCTCATAAAATTTTCATTTAAAACTCATGAGACAAAGGGAATGAAAATAAATAATGTGTTGTACCTAGGATTTGAATAGAGAACAGTGTGGTTGGAGGGAATGATTATACAAATTGCCTTTGAAGAGTTAATCAGGGGTCAGACTGTGGCCTAACTGACCATGCTTAAGGAGTTAATGTACTTATTTTTTAGAATTTAGCTTCAATCATGGTATATATATGAAATACTTTTCTGATTTTGAACTTTCTCCCTTGTCTTTATGTTGGTGATAGGCAGGCGGGGATGGGGTGGGGTGTGTGTGGCTCCGTGGTAGAGGCCTGCCTAGAATGTCTGAGGCCCAGTGTTCAACCCCCAGCATTGCCCTCTGACCCCCCCAAAAAGTTGGTGGCAGAATTTTTTTATAGGTTTACAGCAGCTATCTAGAGACCTTCTAACAATATTTCCTGTTTGTTAATACTTATTTCTATTCAATTTTTCTTCCTACTTCCAAAATTTGGATATTAACTGTTCATAAGATTTTCAATTCTTAACTCTCCTGTTACTTGTTCCTGTGCTTTGTAAAACAGTATTATTCAGTGTTGTAATTGTATCTTACATTCAGAAGGAGGTAGTAGTCCTATGTTTCTCCTAAGTAGAGAAAGCACAAAAAAGTCTGAAATGTAGTTCGATGTAGATAAATGGGCTTAATGAAAAAAGAGTGTCTAATTCCGGAGCATCTTTCTTTCTTGTCCTTATTATACCTTTGTATGTAGAAGTTGTAAGAGCTATATCACGCTATTTATTCTTTTTAACCTTTTTATGAAAATAAGGGCTTGTCTGAATAAAGGTGTGTATTTATCTCAGTAAAGTTTCTGCTCTTTTCTTCTGTCTTCCACTTACAAACATATTCTTATCTGTTCTCTTTCTCAAGCTCCATGAAACTCCTATATACAAAAGAAATTGGGTATTAATATGAATGCTTCCTGTTTTTGGTGTTCATAATTGAGTGTTAAATTACTTGCCATGTATATAGTTATTATGATTTATTCGTGTGCTTGTTAGCTTTTCCTTCTCTGGTTATAGCTAGCTGGCCTCTCTGTATATGCAAGTGGACTTTTCTGGCTTCTGGTTGGGTCCAGCCAGTGGGGAACATTGTGAGTAGGTAAAGGAAGGAAAGGGAGGATTCAGGATGTTCACTTTCTTGACCTCTTCCCTGTGATATTTATGCAAACTAGCCGCATCCTTCCCTTGGTGTTTCAGGCAGCCCTCTTTGTTTTAGGGTTATAATGACCCCCATCCCCTTACTCCCAGTCCTGCTGTTACTAACCCTAGAAGGCTACACTCTCATTTCTGGGTTTTCTTGTAGTCTGCCTATTTTTGGTAACCAAATTTTGATTAAACTTCAAATTACACAAATTGAGGATGGCATCTGTTTCCTAAAGTAATGCAAGCACATATACAGTACTTTAAAAATAATTTAAATTCTGTCACTGGCTGTTGTGATTGCAGTTCTAAAATGGCTTAGCACCAGAATGAGGAAAAAAATGACTCTGACAATTTCATGAATTTATTTTTTTGGCTGGTGTAATTCTATTTTAAATTCATCCATAAGGATGTTGGATACAGTGTTATCAATCTGGATATTTATTGTCTTTAGCATTATTGAGAATTCAGAAATACTGAATGAGAACATAAGATTCTAGTATGAGGTACCTTGTAATGAGAAGTGCAGGGTGCTATAGAGGAAGGAGATGGTTCTCTCAAGACCACTTTGATTGTGTCTGCGGCAGGATTGAAGGGTGACCCAGTTTCCTATGTTCTTCCGAGCCCTTGCTTATCTCGTTGCTCCATGGCCCACCCCTACAGACCTCTTGAGAGACCAGGCCCAAAAGTAATGTGACTAATGCTATTTAAAGCTTGTTAAGGACACCTGTTCCTGTGCACAGCATGTATAAACTCACCTAACACGCCCAGTGTCTCCATGAAGTAAGTTCTGCTACTGGTTGCATTTCGGATTTCAATACATGTCAGATAGTGAACAGAATTGGAAGTCAAACTCATGCAGTCTGATTCCCTAGTCCAGGCTGGGAACCACCCCAACCACGTTGTGCTATAATTAAACTGATTATCCTTTCCTCCCAAGGAGGTGGTCAAAACTAATGCCATCAGCCTTTGCAAATGATGCCAGTTGGGGGTCGTCATTGTTCGCTAGTGTTGCTTTTGGTCTCCTGCCCCCATGTTCCTCCTGTCAATAGATTTTATCACCTGCTCTCTTTTAGTGCAGTCATACCAGTCAGTCCTCTTCATTCTAGAGTTCAGCAATTTACATAATAATCTTTTTTCCCTCTAATCATTTCTTGACGATCCCAAGATCCATGTGGATCATGCATATAGTCTCCTGAGTCTTTGACTTATCTCTAATGATTCGTCACCCCATTTTAGACCTTTTGTTGATAACTACATCGCCGCTCAGATTTCAAGTATCCTGTTCTCTGACTGCCACTGATATTCTCTTCCTAGCTCATTTGCTCTAAAACCTAACCCCAGTAATTGTGGGATAATCAAGTCCTCCATTCTGTTAAGCCTTTTTGTCTTCATTTTTCTTAGTCCAGTTTAGATTCCACGGTCTGTTACTGTAATCACACCCTTTAACCCCTGTTGTATTCTATTTCATTAAAACCATCACTCTAGCTACTTAGTGCCTAAACAGCCAGATGAGGCTATTTCACGTTAAATATTCATGATCACAAGTCTTTAATGCTATCCGTGCATTCTTTCATCTCTTCACTTACTCTACGCAAAACTGAAAAACCACCTTTTCAGTTAATGGTATTTATTTTACTGAAAGAAAACAAAGAAAAGAGATTTATCTCTCATCAGCAAATCTACAAGCTTAAGAGAGAACAGTTGTAATGCAAGCAGAAGTCAGTTTTTCAGGGGCCAAAATGTGAGAGAGAGTAGGTCACATAATAATAAGGACAATTTTTTCCATGTGTCATGAAACAGGCTCTCTGAAGTGAATTTTACTCACAGCTTTACTAAATTTGAGGAATGTCTGTTAAAATTTTTGTTTTGAATTTATCCATATAGAGATTAGCAGAGATAAAACTATAGGTAGAAAGGAAGTTTTTAGTCTGCTGGCCTAGATTCTGCTGAAGCAGTTTTTCAAACTTTAGCCTATTTTAGGATTACCTGGGAGGCTTGATAAACAGGTTACTGGGCATCACCTAAAGGCATTCATTGTGAAGGTCTTAGGTGGCTTCTGACACTTTGTATTTCCAGAAAGTTCTTAGGTGGCCCTGATGGTGCTCATCCAGGTAATCGGAGAATCGTTTTTGAAAGCCACTTCATCAGAGTTAGTATTCATACAATATGAGCTATTTTTTTGCTTCTTCTATCTTCCCCACCTGCTTCCTTCCTCTTCCATGTTCTCACTGACACATGGTTTACCTTTTTTTTAAGCTTTTCTTATGGTTTATCCTATGGGTATGTAATCTATGGATGTCTATATTGTGGGTGGATTCTTGGTGTCATTTTAATTTTTATTTTCTATAGGACATTATTTTAGGCTTTATTTTCATGTGTAAACCTTCTTTGAAATGTTAAAAATTTTGCCTCCTTAATGGGTTGCTTTGTGTTTACAATATAGCTGTAGTTTTTTTAAAAAAATACATATCCTGGTTACAATTTTTTTTTTTAAGTTCTTACACATTTTGCAAATACTTTATCAGTTGGTGGCTTGCCTTTTTAAGTTATTTTGAAGAGCAAACATTAATTTTGATGAAGTCTACTTAACAGTGTTTTTCTTCATAGTTCTTTTTTTGTGATCTTTGTAACCTTTCATTTTTCAAAAAAGTTAAATATCTAGATTCTTTTTTGGGGGGGGGGCTTTGAACTCAGGACCTTCAGGTTGCTAGGCAGGTGGTGCCACCACTGAGCTAAATCCCCAGACCAATATCTAGATTCTTAATTTTCAGCTATTGGACAAAAAAAGCATAGGAAGCAATTACAAGCTAGAGTTGTATCTGCCTTATGTTTGTGTTTATTATTGTTAGACTTGAATGGTAAGTTACTTGTGATTCCAGTATTTGTTCTTTTTGGGTGTTAAAGGGCCCGTAAAATTGCTACTAATGAGGTTTCTCTGTCTTACAGGTAAGAGTGCTGAAGTTTGTACAGATTACATGACTATGTTAATGGTTTACAGTTTATGATGACCCCAAGACTCCTCCGCAAAAAACTCCAAATCCTCTCAAATCTTGGTTCACTACTTGTCTAAGAGCTCTTGTGTATGGTTCTTCTGCTAAAATTTTACTGCATACTGCAATACATTAATGTCAACTTAGTTCATTCATTTCTGATTATAATTAATATTCTCTTTGAAAGAAGTATTAAAATTATTAAGTAGGTTTGCTTTCTGAAAGAATAATTTCCCATTAAAATCTCATTAAGTGAAGATGTTGAATTTAACACTTTTTTGGTTTCTTCTTTTGATTCTTTCCAAAGGTTTGTAAACAGATTTGGCTAGGATTATTTGATGATAGATCTTCAGCAATTCCAGACTTCAGGGACCCACAAAAAGTGAAAGAATTTCTACAAGAAAAATACGAAAAGAAAAGATGGTGAGTGAATAGTTTGTATGTAGAGTAAAGCTGCTTCAAACTGCTCTAACTGAAACAGCAAAGGTAAGGAAGAGAAGCAGGCAGGAAAGAGATAGGTGAGTCTGTAGATTCACATTTTTGGCTTTTTTTGGATTTGGTTTCCAGATATCTTTATTTCTATTTTATCTTAACTCATCTACTCATCTGTAGGAGTAGGCTGTTCAATTACCGGGATTCCTACCCTTTTGGAAAGTTAAGGATCTTTCTAATCCTTTGTTAGTCTCTACACATTTTTAGTCTTATAAATCTTCCTTTCTTAAGGTCTGTTCCTTTAGCAAGTATTTGAGTAGTAGCTTCTTTATACGAGGCACTGTGGTAAAGCTCAGATATAGTAATCTGTCCACACGATTGCGTCTTTCATTGTCTTTGTTTAAAATACAGTGTCTCTTACTTCCCACCCAAGCATCAGTTTACTACCTGGTTACGAAGGGAACATTTATACTCCCCTAACTAAATCTACCACATTTTATGTTTTAAAAGGAAATTCTACACAGATTTACATAAAGCTAGTATGTCCCTTACAGCAGAGGCAGGACTGTATCCATGGAGGGAGGTAGTATTGAGCTACTGAGGGCTTGTCATGTTTTTACCTTTTGGTACAATTTACGTGCAGTCAATTAAAATTTATTAACTGTGAATTTTGTTGTTGTTGTTTAATGCTGTTGAGCAAAACTGGTATATTTCCTTCTTAGGATTAAGAAGATTGGGGAGAGAGTCAGATAAAGGGACTATATGTGGGGAAATAAAGTGCTCCTTGTTTCCTTGAGGAACATTTTAACCCAGGAAATGATTTGGTTCTGAGGGACCACTTTTTGTGGTTTCTGGGGAATAGGCCTGTATTTTCATTCACTAAGCACATTAGCTCTGACTTCTAGGCTCTACTAAAATTTGTATTCTTTCTGCTGTCTAAAATGGACTAATTTTTGCAGAATAAGATTTACCAGGGCTGTGTTTATCTGAACTAGACACATTGGTTATAAATATAGGTAGAAATATACCAGTAAAATCTTAGTTTAACAAAGAAGAAAGTATTAGAACATGGGTGGTAGTAAAAAATACAGTGACAGGAACAATTCTTTTAATTTGAAAGGTATTTATTCTTTTATCATTTTAGTTCTTAATTCAGCAGACTATTCATCTTATAGGTAAGATTGTTCACTTTGTATAGTTCTAACACAGTTTTTGGTTTTCTCACCAGTGTTACTTTCTTAAGCTTATAAAGTCAGTTTGGTTAGGACTTAGCTAGGGTCTTAGATGGGTTAGCTGTAGCTATGATGAGAAAAGTGAATGTAAATGATAAGGAAAACTATGAATATGTTAATGGTAATAGGATTAAAACCATAAATTGCCACTCCTGTATTTATAAAAATAATAAATTATTGGGCTGGGGATTTAGCTCAGGGGTTCTGCCACCTGCCTCGCAAGCGCAAGGACCTGCATTTGATCCCTGGTACCAAAAATAAATGATTGAATGAATGAATGAATGAATGAATAAATAATTTATATGAGCTGTAATCCAAATAACTAAAAAACACAGTTATATTTGGTGTTATTTTTTCTTTCTTGAGAAACATGGCAGTAATAAGAACAGTACAGACTTCAAGGAGTGAACATTTTTAACTTCTGCTCTTGCACGTATATAACATATAATTAGCAATGACATCTTTTTCTTTTTAAACATGAACACTATCCCAATGGATTCTATCCAAGAGAATTTCCTTTTTTTTGGTACCAGAAATCGAACTCAGGACCTTGCGCTTGCTTGTGAGGCTGGCAGTGTCACCACTGAGCTAAATCCCAGGCCCTATCTAAGAGAATTTTATAAGCTGGGTGTGGTGGTGCATGCCTGTGATCCCAGCACTCTGGAGATTGAGGCAGGAGGATCACTTTGGGTTGGAGGCCAACTTGGGCTACATAGTGAGTTCAAGGCCAGCCTGAACTACATAGGGAGACCCTGTCTCAGAAAACAAGATAAAGCAAAACAAAGAGTGCTTATTGCAGGAAACTACACTCATAGCAGTGTGGCTGTGGATATCCAGTGATATTCTGAGACCGTTCTTTTGGTCAATTCTCAGAATCACGTCTTAGACATGCTTAGTCCCTTTAAGTGGAACAAGTCTTTGGAGCCATAAACTGTTACTAGGTTTTATCTTGGATCAGACTTGGCAGTATTCAGGAATTTATGCCATCAGTGGAATGCCAAATTACAGGAAATAACTTCTTGTATTCATTCTCATATCTCTTGTCATCTTTCCCATTTATTGGGGGAAAAAATTTGTGTTGCTTGTGGCTATTATATGCTTTGATAATAGCCACCATTCTGTAGGTCTAGTGTACCAAGAGCTACAAATGTGAGCTCATTAATAACTCCATAGCATCTTTACCTCATTTTATATATTTAAAAAATGGAAGCATAGAGTTGTAGTAGTTTGTTCAGGTTTCATAGCCATTGACTAGTGGAACTGGGGTTTGAGCTCTCTCTCTCTGGAATAGTTACTAGTATCTACTCTGTTTTCCTACTTTCCCGAGATGGGGAGGAGGGCAGGAATAAACTCAGAATTGCAGAACTCTTTTGGGGGAAGGGGGTGAGACAAGGTCTCCCTCTGTAGTTCAGACTGGCTTTGAACTCACTTTGTAGCCCATGCTGGCCTGGAACTCTCAGCAATCATCCTGCCTCAGCCTCCCGAGTGCTGGGATTACAGGCATGTGTCACCACACCTGGGTAGAATTACAAAACTCAATAATGACTGATTACCATTACTGACATTTGTGCATTATATTCTTAACTTCTTTTTCCTTCAGTCCCCCCCTTCCAATGACTCCTATTTATACATGACTGGGATAAAACCTGGAAAGATTTGTGAAGTCAGAGCAGCTGTGAAGTAATACACAGATTTTGTTTTCTTGAGGCAGGATCTCAGAAGGTAGTCCAGTTTGGCTTCAAACTCATGATGACCCCTTCCCTCTGCATGCCTTACAATGCCTGGCTCCAGCATATATAGATTAGCATAGTCCTTTGCAGTATTTTTCTCCTAGTAGATGTTTGATTTGCTCCTGTTTTTTAGATTATAAAGATTCTATTGTAATATATATGTACATATAACTATTACCTTTGTATACTTGACCAATTCCTAAGGATAAGATTTTGGAAGTATGGTAGTACATCTAGGGCACAGCGTACATTTCAGTAGATAGCAACAGAAAATGTGCAAAGTTCGCACACAGATTAAAGATGATAATACCTTAATTTCCATTTTATTATGTTATTAAGTGTTCATATGTTTCCTTTTGTGAATTGATTTTGTCCATTTTAAAACGAAGTTGTTGATCTTATTAGATTTATAATAGGCCTCTATATTTTAGGCTGTCAGTCATAATATAATAAATCTTTTTCCAAATGTTATGATTTTAGGATAATTTCATTTTATTTTATGTATGTATGTATGATATATGCATGTATGTATGTTTTGGTGCCCGGGATTGAACTCGGGACCTTGCGCTTGTGAGGCAGGCGGTGGAACCACTGAGCTAAATCCCCAGCCCGATAATTTCATTTTAAAAATTTATAGTGTTGACTGTGTGGTGGTTAAATATAGGTCTTTAGTTTGAAAAACATCAGTTACATTGTGTTTATCATCTTTGAGAAACCATAAGTAAATAAGTAAACTATAAGTAGGTAAACCATAAGTAAGTAACTAGAAAACAGCAGGTTTTCTACTCTTTATTTAGTCTTTAAATATTTCAATTAAATGTAGTTTTAAGCCCTCAGTTCTGAGTTTTCAAATAAGATTAATGTTGAAACAGTTTTATATAAAATTGGAACTGAGCCAACTGCCCATTCTAATTTTTACGTTTTAGGTATGTCCCCCCGGAACAAGCCAAGGTTGTGGCATCAGTGCATGCGTCAATTTCAGGGTCTTCAGCCAGTAGCACGAGCAGCACACCTGAGGTCAAACCACTGAAATCTCTCTTAGGAGATTCTGCACCAGCACTGCACCTAAATAAGGGCACACCTAGTCAGGTGAGTAGTCTCTAAATCTTTGTAGGGGATGCTTAGGGAAGATGGAGTGCCAAGATTTTGGTAATTCTTTAAGACAGTGACATAACCTTGATGACAGTGGCATTTCGTCCTAATGGTTTATGATACATTAAAATGTTGAGTAAGTGGTAGGAATGTGTGTACTGTATTTTGTTCTTTTTATGATTGCTTTGATTCATTAGGGAGTACAGGAACACTGCTAAGGCTGTCATATAGACTGCAGTTAGTGAGACATGAATGGCTGGTGACTTTCAGAGCAGTATAGCCTCTGATGTTCTTTAACAGGAAGTAGTGGGATTTTCCCACATGCCTGATGATGTGGCATATTTATTACTGAGACTTAGTAGCTTTGCATTATATCTTATTCTGAAAATCTGAAGTCTTTTTATAAGTTGGTAACTAGAGTTCTCTACTTCACTGTAGTTGATGGAGCTATGACAGATCTGTTTTTGTGTGGCATTACAACCTCTATCCTGTATAAGAATGGATCTGAAGCATAGTACTGTGAATTAATTAAATCCTACCCTTTTTGTAGTGCATTCTAGGGCTTTTGAGTAATTTTTGTTTTCCCCCACAAAAGTCTGAGTGAAAAAATGAAGAGGAGTTAAGTCAGTACACTGTAACTATGGAAGGATGTGTTAAGCTTGTGGATTGGAGATAGTTCTATATAAAAATTCAGTAGATCTGACTGGAAAATCTTTATAGTTATGTGGTTTATAGTCCCCAGTTGTAGGTCGCTCCCAAGGGCAGCAGCAGGAAAAGAAGCAGTTTGACCTTTTGAGTGATCTTGGCTCAGACATCTTTGCTGCTCCAGCTCCTCAGTCAACAGCCACAGCCAATTTTGCTAACTTTGCACATTTCAACAGTCATGCAGGTATGTGTCTTTTCTCAATAGCTTTAGCCTGAGATGTTTGTAAAGCAGCAAGAAACATCCAGTCTTTATTAAATTAGATATCAATAAGCATGTTTGATTGAGGCTTTTTGGTCATCCTTAAATGTTGAAGTGTAACCATGTATCTGTGGCACTTACTAATCACAGAAGGGATTGTATGTAATGTTGAGATATGATGTGACCTCTTTTCATGGAAAAATGGGAAAGATTTTATATATTTTTCTCTTTTATTGTGGAAAATGGTAAATATTCAAAAGTAAATGGGCAGTCTAACCTTATGTATTACTAATCACTCATGGCAAATCTTATTTCATTCATATTATTTTGAAGCAAATTTTAGACATAATAGTTTGCCCATATAGATGACATCTGTAAAACAAGACTTTTTGTTTAACATCACAGGATTATCACTCCGTAAATAGTAACGATTTGTTAATTGTTACTGAAATTTTCATTCCACTCCATATTGTTTTCTTTATATACCATACATATTATCTGTATGTTTGTACATATACCACACAGACACACACACACACACAGACTCCTCTACATCCATATAGTTTGAATTAGGTTTCAAATAGGGTGCACACATTGCAATTGTGAGCAGTGTCTCTTATGTCTCTTAATCTATAAATTCTTCATCTTTTTCTCCTCTGTAATTTGTTAAAGAAAGTGGATTGTTCTGCAAGATTTGCACTAGTCTGAGTTGATTGCACCACTGTGATCCCCTTTAACAAGTTTTCTTAAAAACTGTGGTTGAATCTAGAGGCTTGATGAGATACAGGTTCTTGTATGTGTGGGAAGTGGCTAGGCAACTTACTGCTTAGGGTTTAAGGCTCAGGATTTTGGATTGTCTCTTTATATTGTTAACTTTGATGGTCAGTGTGTGACTATTATGCAAAATAATTTTAAATGTCATCCACTACATTGCAGTTATATTAGAAACATTATATTAAAAATATAAATGGAGTCTGTTTTGGAGGGCAATAAGCATTGATATGTACATCATAAGAGAGTGTACCCTTCTCTGTGTGCAAGTGATTAAACACCTCAGACCAAATGTAAGACACTAATGTAGGAATTGATTGAGTCATTTTATAGTTTTATTTGGTAATTTGAAATTTTGCTTTGTATTAGTTAACATGAGTGTGTAAGTTATTGGCTGAAGCTGCTTTCCATAACTTTAATTGTAGATAAGAAAAATTTGAGACTGTATCTTTCTAAAATATGTATTTCATAATTTTATGCGTGTAACAGAAGCTTGCTGTTAGAATTGATTTCTTATATTCTAAAACCCTATTTCTACATGGCAGTAGATCAGAACACCTCCTGTAGAAAGAGAACCATTTTTCACATCTCATAATCAATCACAGTTTACAGGTTCTGTGATAAAATAACACAAATGAGTCATATAATGAGATGTGAAAAGTGGAAATAGGGTTTTAGAATTACTAAATATATTGATTTTTCTCAAAGTGGAGCATGAAATCTTATTTATTCAATAGGAAATTCCATCTTTTTAAATGTTGGAATGGATGAAAAATGTTTTACTACTTGTAGGAAAAACAAAGTGTATATGTTAAATGAACTTGCTATGGTATTTCAATTTGTGTCCTGTAGTTTATTTATCTTTTCTCATGAGTATCTGTTTGTAATTGAAGAAGAAATATAACTGTTAGCAAGATTCAGGCTTCTTAGTTTGGTACCTTAAATTCTAAGCTGAAGTGATTCCTTTCTACTCTTAGAAACAAGATTATTTAAGAAACATCTTTACTACTTTGTCATATTTTATTTACTTTGGATTCTTTGTTCAGAGTTTGCTTGAGGAATCAGATGGTAATTTTTGTATTATTAAATTTATTAGTGTTTAATTTCTAAAGCTAGATTCCTCAGCATTTATACCAGTTGTTGAAAATTTTATTTTATTTATTTATTTTTTTTCTTGGTACCGGGGATTGAACTCGGGTCCTTGCGCTGGCGCAGCAGGCAGTGAAACCACTGAGCTAAATCCCTGGCCCCTGAAAATTTTAAATAGACTCAGTACTTAGAAATAAAAATGGGTTCAAGTACTACAAAACCTTGTTTTGCCATATTGAATTTGAGGCTGTATTTGGAAAACACCAGGAAAATACAAATGTTATAAAAGATAAGCTTGCCTAACAAAAATGGTTTACTATGAACTGATTTGTTCTCACACATACAACTAAGATGTTCAAAAGTACAACTTGCCTTTTGGAATAATAACCCAGTATATTTGAGAACTTCCTATACTATGTTTCCTAGTTATATACTGTATACATTACATGTTTTGGTTTATACCTTATCTTCTAGTTAAACTTTCTTCTCAGCCTAGAGTTTTGAAAGCCTTAAAGAATTTATTCTTGTTCTTTGAGAAGTTGCAGAATTATAGGGGTGGATTTGCATGTGGAGGCTGATGAATCTTCCCGTTTTGGTAGTGAGAAGACTAGGAAGAGTAGAGCAATTTAAGGACTTTTTTCATGCTATTCAGTTACCTACATTAGGTTGGAATTTTTTTTAGTTTGTTTTTGTTTTTCTTTGAGACAGGATCTCACCATGTAGTTCAGGTTGGTCTTAAACTCACTATGTAGCCCAGACTGGCCTTGACGCCCTGGTGATCCTCCTGCATCAGCCTCTCGAATTCTGGGATTACAGACCTGTGCCATCATGCCCAGCTAGGATAGAATTATCTGATTCTTAGCCCAGATTCCTTTTATTAATCTAAACTTGGTTATTGGTGTTACCAGTCATATGAAAGGATGACGTTGTTTAAACTGGTATTGTATTGCTTTGATCTTCTATAGATACTTCTTCCAAAATACTTTTCAATAAATTTATTTTTTTTTAACTTTTGTTTTCTAAAAGTTAATTTTCAGCCTATGAAGAAACTTGAGTTTTTGGGCCGGGGATTTAGCTCAGTGGTTTCACCGCCTGCTGTGCAAGTGCAACGACCCGAGTTCGATCTCCGGTACCAAAAAAAAAGAAACTGAGTTTTTGTCATATTGAGCAAAAAGAGTAACAAAAGATTTCAGAATATCCAGAAAATACAGAATTTATATTATTAAGCAATAAGAAAGCTTTTAATTTAGGAACTTTCTTTGTAGTATTTGAGAGAGGGGGAAATGCATGAAAAGAGGTTTTCACGTGAAACGAAAGGCGTGATGCACACACAGAGTGGCAGTCTTCATTCCGGAAAGAAGTGGCACAGTTAGGTACCTGGTAAAAGGGGTCTCTGTGAGGTAAATTTCCCCCCGACTGTTGTACCCATTCAGATACATACATGATGGTAATCATATAAAATGCTTTAAGTTTTCCTGATTTTCTTCTTAAAATAGGGTTTAACATGTTGATTTGTTATTGAAATTTTTGTTTTGCAGCTTTTTTTTGTTTGTTACATATTCATTGCAAAAGTGCTATAAACTCAGGCAAACATAAAATGGTATTGATTTGAAATCTTTCTAAAGAGTTAATTAAAAATGCAGATTTTGTTATATATATAATATACCATGTTTTGTATAAGAAGTATAACTGGGATTATTAACTCATTTTCTTTGGCATAAAATTTTTGTGTAGGACTAAATATTTTATATGGTTTCTAGTGACTATATGGTTATATCCCATCACATGATATTTCATATAAAATATATTTAAGTGATCCCTTATTGGTGGTCATTTGAATTTCTAACATTTTTACTCTTTGAAAAAACACTATTTTGTAGATATGACAGTACTTATTATTCTTATACATTTCTTTATAATATTTCTTTACAAATGCTTATTAAATTAGAATTGCCTGCAAAGGATTTACTATACGTACAACATCTAACCGTTCCTCATCTTTGGACATGCTTTTCATTCTTTCCACAAGCATTCTCTTTCTAACATGCCAAAAGTTTCTTATTTGCATTATATCCTCTCGTAAACTCTTATCTAGCATCTATTTTGGCCTTCAGTAAAAATTTTTGATTTTTTTAAACATACATAAAATTTAGAGAAGTCTGGAATTTTGCACTTAGGTTGAGGATCAGTTGCAAAATACATCTTGATCTTTTTTTTACTGAATGCTCTAATTGCTACTGGGTCTCATGATTTCTTTAATTGTTAGCACAAGTTTAAAATAGCAGGCTTCTGATAGAATGTGAATATCTGCAGCTTGGTGATCATAAGCTTATACATTGTTTTTTTCATTTTCTTGTGCCCATGTTTGTTAACTTTTAAAAAAATATATTTTAGATATTTAGGTTACTCTTTAGATTCACATAATGAAGTATCAGTTTAAATCACTGAATTTTCCAGAATGTATCCCACATGTTTGTTTACTGTGCTGTAGCTCGTACATTTACTGCTGCTCTCTGTTCACTTTTCCTATGTTAACATAGTCATGTTGTAGTACGATTCCTGAGGCCATTAAAAGGTACTGTGTACAAACTTACCGTTTCACAAAAATTGTCTGAGGAAATTTCTGGATACCTTTTGTAAATATAATTGTGTTAAATGCTTGTAGTATATTTAAAGTCTGATTTCTACATGAACTCTTTAATGAGTTGTGATACACTGACACTTTTCATAAAAGTCTTAAATTCATTTATCATGTATTTTCATTTGTAGTTTTCATATTCATTAACATCTGTTGTTCCTTACCATTTACAGCTCAGAATTCTGCAAATGCAGATTTTGCAAACTTTGATGCATTTGGACAGTCTAGTGGTTCGAGTAATTTTGGAGGTTTCCCCACAGCAAGTCACTCTCCTTTTCAGCCCCAAACCACAGGTAGAGCTTCTCCAGCATTATGCTTAAGTATTTATTTTAAGAAACAAAACTCTGTAGATTTAGTTTTGAAAAATTAAATTTAAATTCTGTAATTACCTGATTTTAAAGTAGTTCTGTCTTAAAAAGCTCTGGGGAAACCTGAAATAATCATATATATATTTTTTTATATATTTTTTTTTTTTTTTCCTTTTTTTTCCTGTGTTCATTTGTTTTTCTGAACTCTTTGGTATGTTGTCTCATTTATAACATCCATTCTTTTCCTTTTCCTGTACATGAATCTTTTTAAATCTTACATGCATAAAGACATTAAAGTACTAAATACGTTTTAGGATCATGGAACATATTGCTTTGAGGCTGTTAGATCTTTGAAGAAGGAAAGATAACTAGATAATTAGTTGCCTCCATATAACTAAAAATGGAAGTAATTTTAAGGACAACAGCTTGAAAAAGATTGTAAATTATTTAGTCAAGAGTAGTTTATCACTTGAATCAAATGTGAAAATAGTTTTCTGTGCGGGAATTGGTCTTTATACATTGAATACTCGCCCACAAACTGTGCATACAGTTTTCAGAAACTCTTTGAACCCTTGTTTGGATCATTGCCTGATTACTTTTTTTTCAACTTTTAACTCTGTGTATGTATTGTCTCAAAACCTTTTCTTTCAATTTTCTTTAACATTCATCATTTACATAATTTCTGGCTGTCCAGCATTTAGAATACTTTCATCTAGCTGCAGTTTTGGTGAATTTACTTCCACTTTTCCTCTCCAGGCTACCCACAGTAAGTTCTATTGTCATGTAGGCATCTTTTACTGATTTGTATGTTTTATGGTGTATTCTGTGGATTTTATTTGAAACAATCAGAATTTAATTCCTGAAAGAATTTTATGTGTGTGTTTGATTTAGAATGTTTGAAGGACTGAACTGATGAAAGTGTTTGTGTTTTTTGCAGAGAAATGTCTTCTGTCTTTAAAATACCCCTAAGTGTATTTTGCTGTCACCTTTACATATAGTATATGTAAAAAAATATTTCATTTATACACACACACACACACACACACAATTTTGATTGCTGAAAGTATGATTTAGGAATAAAGAACTAGTGCATCTCACACACAAAATATCAAAAGCTCAAAATGAAATCTACTGGCAGTAGTTGTTTGTTAGTGTTTTAGACGTGCCTTAAAAGATTTAGCAGGCTACACACTATAGTGACCATTAAGTGAATTGTCCTTTATAAAGTCAAAAATTGCTATGATAAGCTGTATTTTTATGTCTTGAACTATACGATAGGGCATGATTTTACTGTGAACAGCATATTACTCAATGCACATTAAATTGCTTTGTAGAATTAAGTAACAGCTTTTCAAGTGAAATAAGTCTAAAACTCAAGGACCATCTTTTAAGAAGATGTGATTAAAATAATAAATTTTAACCATTGTTAATCCCCACCACTGGGATTTGTTTAAATCATGTGTCCATGGAACTTCAAATGGTTGAATCCTCCATGTGAAAGACTTTGCATCTTGTGTTTTATGGATAACTGAATTTCAACCAGCTATCATGGAGTTAACCTTCCCTTCCCTGTTATATCCTTTATCCCAAGATAGATGTTATTTTATATGTTGCCTCATTTCACAATTATAAAAAGTCACATTTAAATGATTAAAGTTGAGTGCCATTTACCAGTCATTGATTTTTAAGAAATACAGATTATAAAGTCATATATAAATATATATCCTATAATGCTTATGGAACACTTAATTTAGGAAGAAGTGATGAGTAGTCTTCCAAGGGGTTTTGGGAAAAGCCCATGAATTTCAAGTGTTCTGTTTATTCTGTTACAGGTGGAAGTGCTGGATCAGTAAATGCTAATTTTGCTCATTTTGATAACTTCCCCAAATCCTCCAGTGCTGATTTTGGAACCTTCAATACTTCCCAGAGTCATCAGACAGCATCAGTTGTTAATAAAGTTTCAACTAACAAACCTGGGTTACAGACAGCAGACAGATATGCAGCACTTGCGAATTTAGACAATATCTTCAGTGCTGGGCAAGGTATCAAGCTTTAAACAAAACAAATACAAATTTACATATTAAGCAGTGCTCCAAAATCAGTATATTCACTAACATTTGACAGTGTTCTACTTTCCCTTAGTTGTGTAGAAATTGTGCCTACATTTTGAGTCAAATAGTCACTTAGTACTTTTGAGCCTGAATCAGCTGTAAAACTGAAGGCATAGAAATTAATCTATAAAGTTGTTTGTGATTTATTTTGAAGCAGGGTGTTGCTATGTGGTTCAGACTGGTCTTGATTTCACTGTGGAGCCCAGGCTGGCTTCAGACTTGTGGCAGTCCTCCTGCCTCAGCCTCCCAAGAGCTGGGATTATAGGTATATGCCACCTCTCCTGGCCTAAACTTCTACATTTTTTGGTACTGAGGACCTTGCACTTGTGAGGCAGGCAGTGGAACCACTGAACTAAATCCCAGAACTCTAAACTTCAACTTTTAAAAGGAAATAATTGAAAAAATTTTTGTTTTGTCCTAGAGAACATTCTTTATTCTGTGGCCATAAAGTATGAATAGATTCCATTAACAGAGGTTAATGGGAAGGTTATTTGGTGGTTTCTGTAATGTATTTAGTTTGAACTATTTTCTATTAGTTCTTTGATATTTAAATCCCTTATCTTTATACTGCAGTTTTATACCAAATTTTGGTCTTAAGGTCAGCATTTTGCCTGTGAAAATGAATAGTGCAAGGATCTAGTAGTGCTGGCCTGGATTTTGCAGCCTCATCTCTGAGCCTGCTTTTGTCTCCAGAATGAGAATGAGAATAGCACTGAATTCATGGAGCTGGGTTTTATGTGTTGTTGCCTGTGTGATACTAGAGCAGTGCCTGACATGCAATAAAAGCTTAGTAAGTGCTACTATAATTGTCTCTAATTTTTTCATGAAAAAACCTAGGAAAATGATAATACTAATAGGTTGTTCATATTTGGTCCAGCATTTTGAGTTTATGTTTACTTCATTGAATCCACTTGTCTTGGATTTAAGAATTTCTTCTTTATAGTCTAAATATATTATGACTGTTATTCTAGACAGACTCTTAGATTTTGTTATGGAAATAGAAATTTTGTTTTCAGCACAGTGATTTATGTAGGAACTAATCTTGTCTAGTATTGTTTAAATTATTTAGTGAAGTCCAGAATCCTATTTAATTTTTTAGCTCCGAAACAGTTTTAAGTTTACCTCTGTTTTGTTGCAAATGTGGTTGATGAGCTGAAGGTTTTGGTGTAATTTTTGTTTGTTTGTTTGTTTGTTTGTTTCTAGGTGGTGATCAAGGAAGTGGTTTTGGGGCCACAGGGAAAGCTCCTGTTGGTTCTGTGGTTTCAGTTCCCAGTCAGTCAACTGCATCTTCAGACAAGTACGCGGCCTTGGCCGAATTAGACAGCGTGTTCAGCTCTGCGGCCACCTCCAGTAATGCATATACTTCCACTAGTAATGCTAGCAGGTACTTCGTCTTGGCATTCCTGCTTTGTGTTTTTTAATTTTTTTCAACTCTGAGTAACATAGTTAAATAACTATGTGGGGCATATAATTCAAAAATAGAGTAGTCTTTAAATCTGAGGAAATCAAGTTTAATTTGCTAGTAAAAATATAATCCTTGAGTAATTGCCATAATTTTATTCTTCCTTGCATCAGAAATTTTGTTACTATAATCTTTGAATGCTAAAATTAATTAAAAGAGTATATGCACATCTTTAAATGGACATTTAAATAATATGCAGATTGTACTCAGCAGATAATCCACTTAATAGTCAGATTATGTACTTTCAATTAGCAATAATCGCGCCTTGGATAAACCTCATTGGCTATGATACTGCCACTGCACAAAGCTCAGATTATGTACTTTCAAGGCAGTTTTCAATCCTGGAGACAAAACTACTATGTTGTAGTCTTAGTTTTTAGAGCTCTTTGCACCAAAATCCATCATTAATTCCATCTCTTTTAAGTGTCCTACTGGTATTAATAAACAGACACACTTTTTACTATATTCATTCATATAACATCTGCAAAAGAATTCTTTTGTTCAGCTATGTATCTGTGTAAGACCACTTGTTCTTCATATACTTCAATCAAAACAAATCCCAACATTTTGATCTTCTATTAAATCAGCCTTAAAGGTATTTGTGAAAATATGAAACAGTCCTAGTCTTCTCATTAAGTTCCTTTTGTTTTCAAAATCTAGTTATTTCATAATACAAGTGATATATATATTATGTATTAGCTGTATTTAAATCTGAAGAATATTTTAAAAAATTCTTGACTTTCTTTGTGATCCATATTGACAAATATAGTACACATAAAATAAGTTGTTATTGGGTCTCTAATTTTTCAGAATGTAAACATATCCTGAGACTTGTAATCTAAGAACTGTTGAAATACATGATATGTGTAGTATTTCCACATTTTATGGCTATCTGGTAGGCAGATTACTTTTTTTTTTAATATTGACTCTTTTGAAATATTTGTTTTCAGCAGTGTTTTTGGAACAGTGCCAGTGGGTGCTTCAGCACAGACTCAGCCTGCTTCTTCAAGTGTGCCTGCTCCATTTGGAGGTATGTGCTTCTGGCACATGTGTGTATGTATGTGTCCCTATCTATCTGTCTGTCTATCTGTACATACAGGTATTGGTTTTATAGGAGACACACACACACACACACACACACACACACACGGTAGCATTTTCTCTAATAGACTGATGGAACTATAGCTTTTTTGATAATAAATTACTGCAATAATTTATTACCAAAAAGGTTGTGTTTTCTGTCTTCATCAGTATCACAAATATTTTAAATCTTTAAATACAAAATGTATTAGGATTTTATAGTATATTTTCTAATTTTTTAAAGCTACGCCTTCCACAAATCCATTTGTTGCTGCTGGTGGTCCTTCTGTGGCACCTTCTACAAATCCATTTCAGGCCAATGCCAGAGGAGCAACAGGTAAGGGAAAAAGACAGATTTTGGGATACTAAATGGGGAAAGTTTTTTTTTCAGAAAAACATCATATGAACAACACCAGAAAATCAAATCTTTTTTACTGAGTTGAATGGAAAATGGACAGAAGAGTTTGCCTCTAAAGACAAAGACAAACTGAAAGTTTATAAAATTTTGTAATTTAACAGTTGAGAGAGACCTTAGAGAAATTATCCAGTTTCCATTCTTCTGGTCAGAGCTTTTATTGTTCAGGTAAGGAAGCCCAAACGTGGAAGTACTTCCTTGGACTCACATAGCTAATTTATAGCAAAAGAAGAACTTGAAAACAGTAATTTTGATTTTTTTTTGTGGTCTGGTTCCAGAATTGCTGGCTGTAAGTCATTCAATACTTTTCCTGCCCAGAACTCTCTCTGTAGCATAGGTTGATCTTGAACTTGAGACCTTTCTCCTCTTTTAGCCTTCCAAGTGAAGGGATTATAGATGTGTGCTGCACTGCCTTCCTTTTTTTTTTTGGTACCGGGGATCAAACTTGGGTCCTTGCGCTTGCGAGGCAGGCGGTGGAGCCACTGAGCTAAATTCCTGGACCTGCACTGCCTTCCTTTAAATCATTCTTTCTTAGTAGAACATTACTATGAGTGTTTTCCCTGTAAGACTGCATCAGATAATGGGCTTTGTTACATGAACTATAATTAAGTCTCACTCTAGTGCATCTTTTCCAGGGTGTTCACATAGTTTAAGCTGTGGGGGCCTGATTCAGTTTTAGTATAATACTTGAATATTTTCTTTGATGGTTTTTTCCCATTAGCCACCTCCCCACCCTACCCATCCCTCATTTTGTTTGATTCATAACTGAGCCCGTCACATCTCTCATTCGGTTCTTAGAGTTTTATCCCATTAGGCTGAACAACAGAGCTCTTTGCCATTGTCTCGGGATGTCAGTAAGTGCAGGTAGTATGACTGGATAGCCATTGAATCTCGACTCCCCCCACCCCCTTCCTCTCTCTCTTTTCTCTCTTTCCCTCCCTGCCGTTGTTTGAGACAGGGTCTTACTGTGTAGTCCAGGCTGGTCTTGAACTCACTGTGTAGCCCAGGCTAGCCTTGAACTTGCAGCATTCCTCCTGCCTCAGCCTCTCAAGTGCTGGTTTTACAGATGTGCCCCACCATGCCTAGCTAAATCTAGATGTTTTTTTAAAGCTTCTTTTGGGTGTGAATGTCTCAGTGCTTTTAGCACCAAAGCTTTAACCCCTTTGATAGCAAATGTTGATAGCAGATCTGGAGAAGAGTAGGTACTTCTAACATAAATTAAGTCATTAAGAATTAGTAATTAATTCGTAAATCTCTGTCATTGGCAAGATTAGAAGTTTGAGTAACTTTTATATAAATGTCTTTTGTCATAATTTGTTATTATCTAACATAATGGCTATTCAATAAGTTTTTGAATTGCACATTGAATTTTTTTTTTTTTATTTTTATTTTTTTGGTACCAGGGATTGAACTTGGGACCTTGCGCTTGCCAGGCAGGCGCTGGAACCACTGAGCTAAATCCCTGAGCCCTCGAATTTAATTTTTTAATATTGGTTTCTTTTAATTTAAAAAGTGTATACCTAATCAGTGATTGTTTTAAATTTTGTGCTTTGCTTCTTGTCTATTAATTCAGGTATATCTGCTTTAAATTTCTATTTGTATTTTCTTTATGAGTGTGGTATATGTGATGTTTCTGTTTCTTGGCATATTATTTTGACTTAGTGGAATGAATTTGTAAAATGTTTCATGTCATGACAGGACTTTATACATTGTCTCATTTAATCTTCCCAGTTCTCAAATAAATGTCTCAATTACTGTGTGAAAGTCACAGAAACTGAGGCTGAAAAAAGTAAAGAGGTGTATTTTAAGTACAGCCAGCCAAAATTTGTTCAAGTCCTGATTTAGTATTCACTTGAAAAGCTTTTTGTATTTTGATAATGAGTAGGCTAAGGATAATGCAAAAGGTACCAACATTTGTTGTGTGAAAGTCATTTGCAACATACTGTTGAAGAATTGTTCAGATCCTAACCCCATTTAACAACTGAGTAATGGAAACTCCCATTGTACCTTGACTGAGGTTGTATTAACTTCTCAAAGCCTTACTGCTGTCCTCATCTAAAGAACGTGAGCACTGTTCTCTACCTGGCAGGATTGGTTTGAAATCAAATGATGCATGCCACCCTGTGCGTTTTTGCATTATATTATATACTTGAAAAATCATACTTGTATTGTCTTCTCATGACTGTATCTGAGTTGGTTTTGTCACTAAAATTAAGCACTTTTTTGCTTATTTTATTTACAGTCTGAAAGTCTTGTAAGTTAAGGTTCTACATAGGATATAAAATTGTAAAATGTGCAGATGATATAAATTAATTTTAATATGAGCAAAGTTATTTTAGATAAATCTATGCCCACACATTTATTTGTGGATAAATTATTTTTAACATTATAAGCCTGTTTGAATATAATCACATTAATCACCTTTATTAGGTTATTAATGAATTGACTAAAATGTTGGTTGTGTATGTTTCTATTGAAGCTGACATATAAACAGTACTTTGACAAATGTTTAGGAATTTCCAGTGCTTTATACTATCAAAATTAATACTCTTTAGGAATTGTTACCTTTAAATGAGTTAAAACTGTATTACTACATTTTGAGGTGGCTTTGGCAAGAGGATCTTGGGTCATAGTTCTACGTGAAATTTGAAAAGTTCTGGAAGTATATTTCATTCTTTAAATACACATTTTAATCTTTTTTTAAAATTTACAAAATGTTGGAGATTTACATTTCTTTTAACATATAGGAACTTTGTTTAGATTAACCTATATGGCTTAAGACCTTTTAAATTTTATGATTCTATGATATTTAGCATTAGTTTTCCACAGTCATTAAATCTTATTCATAAAGTAATTTTCAGTAATTAGGAAAATTCTCTTACAGATAGTTCTCATTTCACCAATGAATGCATGATCTTTTTTTTGGGTACTGGAGATTGAACTCAGGACCCTGCACTTGGAAGGCAGGCATGCATGTGTGATCTTTTTTTCCCCTTTATTTTAAAGAATGGACAAATGGTTTTAGAGATTCTTTTTGCAGGAAATAAAGGAAATAACTTATAGAACTGTAAGATTGAGCTGAAAGATTGCATAAATAATACCTATATGCTGCATCTTTTTTTTAATCTAGTAGATAAAAACTCATTTGCAAAAATGGTAATGAATTTGGCTTTAGGGTTCAAAGTTAGTAATAGCTAACCTGATATTAATACCTAGGATGCTTCTAAACTAATGCTGTTTTCCATTCCAGCTTGATTTTGTATTTATGAAACATACACATATCAGCACTATGGTTTTTTCTTTGTTTATATCTAAATATTCAGTAGGCCCACTTACCCTGTCTTAGTATACTCTGAAAATGAAAATTAATGTAAAAGGCAAACAATAAAAGAAGGAAAGTTGAGAAACAAAGGGAAAAATCTAAGAAAGTTAGATTGGACTGCATAGTACATATTTTTATTTATAGGAAAATAAAGGACTTCTGTTCAGAAAATTAAAGAATTCCTTATAACTCAATAATAAAATTACTATGGAAATCAAAACATAGGCAAAAGATTTGAATGAACATTTCTCCAAGAAGGTGTAGAGATGATCAGTGAGCACACAAAAAGATGTAGATCATTAGTCAGTAGGGGAATGTAAATCAAAACCACTGTGTGGTGTCACTTTATACCTACAAAGATGACTGTAGTACACAGTAATAAGCATCAATGAGGTAATAAAGTGATTAGAAACCTCATATATTGCTTGTGGGAATGTTAAATGGAGCAGTGTCTTTGGAAAACAGTCTGACCATTCCTCGAAAGGGTTAACAAAGTTATCTCGAATTTCTACTATTAGAAATATACTCAAGAGGAATGGAAACATAAATCTGCACAGAAATTCATATACAAGTGTTTATAGCCGCATGATTCATAATGGCCAAATCTGGAAGCAACCCACATCTCATCAAGTGATGAAACAAGATGTTGGATGAGCATACAGTGGAATAGTTTTTGATAATAAAAAGTAATGAAGTTCTTACATGTGCTATCCAACGTGAATAAACCTTAAAAAACCTTACTGTAAGTAAAACAAGCTAATTACAAAAGGCCACAAATTTAGGGTTCTATTTGTATGAAGTGCTAAGAATAGGCCAAAGTCTAGAGAGAGAAAATTTACTAGTGGTTGCCAGGGGTTGAGGTGGTAGCAGAGTGGGCATTTATGGGGAGTAACAGCTGACAAGTATGGAGTTTCTTTTAGAAGGGATAAAAGTGACCTAACGTTTGATTGTGGTAATAGTTGTATAACTGATTATATAAGAAATCTTGAATTCTCTACTTTTGGTGGACAAATTGGAATTTGTCTGAGACTCCAGAACTTCGGCCCCTGGGGCAGGGTAGTATGTATTTTTGTGCCAGAATTAATACAGTGGTTAATATCATTTAACAGTTACTGTGGTTGAGATGTTCCTGCCCATATTCTGTGGAATCCTGTGCCCAAATACATACCAGAAATGCTGAGATAACCATAATTAACTAGTATTATTAATGTAGGACTTTTCAAAACCTTAAGAGTGCTCCGAGAGGCGATACATGTAAAATGACCAAACTTCTTCATCACAGAACCATTAGCTTTTTGTTGAAGTCAGAGCACAGTATGAAAAGGTCTTTATAAATTATCAAAAATAATATATTTTTTGGCTATTTACTATATAGCACTTAATTCACTGTTATACATTTAATCTGACAGCAGCTTTGCTGAAGTGTGAGGTCTTATTATCCCTGTCCCCTCGACCCCTCCGTCGCTTGGCAAATGAGGAACTCAGGCTTCTCGCCGTTAAATAACATCATGCAGCGAGAAAATGGCAGAACCAAGACTCAGAAGCACCTTGTCTCTCAATCACTGTTTTCTCCCATTTATGCTAGTCTTGAAAGTGTTCTCACTGACAATACATAGAAACGTATTTTAGAAACCACTCACCCCACATTTTAAAAATAAACAAAAAGTTTAAGTACTTAACAGTCTGAGCTTGTCTTCTATCAATTGTGTATGTAACTTCTGTCCTCAAACGTGCCAGGTAACATGTATCCAAGATGCGGTGTTCTTTTTTCTCCTGTTCACCCTTCTATTTCAAGCTGAAAGTGTTCCACTTACCTTTCTAATGAACTATGTTTAAAAAATTTTCCCCTCGTGATACTTAGTGCACTAATTTATCTTGTAAGTATTTCTAGTTACTGAGTGGTAAATAAAACTATCAGGCATTATTCAGGTGCTGTCTCCAAGACTTGAATTTGTAGATGCTAAAAAGTATTTTTGGAGGTAGCTCATGATGCCTACAAAGCCGTTTTTATGGGTACATTTGTGTCTTCACATGAAAAGTGTTTATTTTTGAAAACTGGATTTCAGTGTTCTTCATATGATATTATTCTAAACTCCACTTTAAGCAGTAGAAATGTTAGAAATAAAAAGTCTCATCTTGTGAATGTGTTTTTATAGTACATTTTTATGCTACCTAGTTGGCAACAGTACATTCTAATTTTAAAAACTCTAATGAACATTTACTTTTATTTTAATAATAGTTGTCCATGACTTAATTGACATTGGTCTCTTTATGGCTTTCCATAAGGCCTTTCTGGAGCAATGCATTCTCAAGTGTTTCCTCACGCTCATTTTGGTAGGTGGCCACAACTAACCTCTAGATTTGTGTAGCAATTTGTCTACCTGCTTGTGGAAGCTTCTGCTACGTTTCTGGATCCTTGCATGTTTAAGTTTTTCCATGTTTTCAAATGGAGTGGGCATGGATGTGTGGCATCAAGATCACATTGTATATTCAGTTATATGACGATCTTTGTAGCAATTTATGTTTTAACGCTAAAAAGCAGTATTGCTTACCTCCATGGTCACAATATAGTGTTAATAGCTGTTTTGATTCTTTTCCTTAAGTTTGAATTCATAGTACTTTGAGTGATATACCAAACCATTGTACCACATTGTTCCATGGAGTTTGATTTTGCTTAAGTGTATCCAAGTGTTGCTTTTTACTGCTTTTTTAAACAGTGATTTGTCAGTTATGTCAGTGCATTATTGTCTGTTATGAAGCCCTCCCGTTTCCCTTGCAATGTGCTTACTATTCTTTCACTTGCTTCCCAGTAGCCTGTTTTTCCTTTTTTTTCTTGTCAGCAATGGACAAATAATTTTAAAAAGTTTGGTAGTACAGTTAGATTGAGCAAAATTGCATTGTGATGACATTAGCACTATGAGCATTATTTGGGTAACTTCTGTACCTTGTTTTTCAGTTTTGTAGAAATTGAAACGTGATTTTATGGAACATTTTTAGTATTAAGTTTCTGTGTCAAATCAGTGATCGAGGTGGTAAACTTTTTAAGATCAGGAAATTCAGTGAATTATGGTTTTTGGAAAACATACTAACACCTTTGCATTATATAATTACTAGAAGTATATTTAAGGCAGCCTTACTGTCTGTTTATCTCACTGAGTCCTTTCCTAGAAATATAGCTGGAAGGTGCTGTATTAAATATTTACCAGCAATAACACAGTGTTCTGCCTACTACACGTGTTTCTGTAATTGGAATTGGTTTATAAATGATGAGTTAAAAGGGGTTGTTTTGGCTCTAGCTTTTTACTCTAGTTATAAAACCTCATAGTTTTGAGTGGTCTCCCTCTGACTCTGTCCCATAAACCTTTTTACTTTTTAGTAATATGTTTTGTAGAGTTAAAATTTTTTTTCCAGGAATGCACATATTACATTATGGCAATCACTTGAAAAAATAAAACTAAGTATAGCAAAACAAACCTAAAAACAAAAATGTATAGTAGTTTATATATGAATTGCATTAGGAGAGGCGTTAAAAAGCAACTACTGTTCAGACTTTATATAATTACTTTGAGAAATTTTCTTGGGCTTTCAGATGACAGCTTTAGTAAGTTCATTTTGGTCATTGGTTATGGTGAAGTTTATAACGCTAAAACTCATCATTACTAACCTTGTTGGAATTTTGAGATTTCAGATGCCTTTAGTGTACATTTTAACATTTTTCAAGGGAAGTGATATTTATTCTACAATTGTTGAGTATTAGAAACAAACTGCTGTTTTCAGTGTCACTCATGTGCCCTCCTTTTCTTATTCAGCGGCAACCTTCGGCACGGCGTCCATGAGCATGCCTGCGGGGTTCGGCACTCCTGCTCCCTATAGTCTTCCTACCAGCTTTAGCGGCAGCTTCCAGCAGCCTGCCTTCCCGGCCCAAGCAGCCTTCCCTCAACAGACAGCTTTTTCTCAACAGCCCAATGGTAAGGCCTAATACTGGCTAGTTGCAGGTCTGCTGTAGGTATCTTTTTTGTGGCATAATGTGAAGTGTTTGGGACAATGACTTATCTAAGAAAGCCTTTATAGCAGTATGTACTTAGTGTTCACTACACAAAAATTGAAGCCATTGAATGATTTGGGTCTCAGAAAACTGATTTTATGCTTTTCAGAATTACCAGTGTCTTTTTCTCATAGTATTTGTTTAGTTTTGTTTTCTATCACAAAAAATGTTTCCTGGGTGCTTTTTTTCTATAAGGATTTGTGTGAACTAAATTAATCTTAAAAATAGATTACACTTTAGTTGGAGTTTCTTGTTTTCAGAAAAGGTGTGAAAATTTCACTCCACCATTATTTTACCCATTTCTCATTTACCAAAGTTTGAAATCCATAGATTTGAAGATTATTCTGGAATTATAATTACATGTTTTCTTTTTTATCTAAGTGATTAGATAAAAATTTGGAAATCTGGTCCATGGAAGAACCATAAATGATAAAACATTTCCAGGAAATTCTGTGATGTTCTCATTGAAACCGTTGCATTGCCCACAGAACCCCCCATGAATAATCAGGCCCATCAGTTCATTAAATGCTTTGAATTCCCATAATTTACATAGCTGGGACAAGTTGGCATTGATGCCTCAGAAGTGTCTTATGAAAGCTCTTTTAAGGCATAACTTAGAAGCTTGTCACTGGTGTCTGAAAGAGCATGCAACTTAGCAACTTAACCTTGATAGTTCATTCCTGCTGCTCTGGCTAGAATTTCTCAGAAGTGTAGAGACTAAGCATCAGATTATGTCTTGAAGATGTAGATGATCGTTGGTGTTTCTGCTTTAACAAGGTGCAGGTTTTGCAGCATTTGGACACACAAAGCCAGTGGTGACCCCTTTTGGTCAAGTTGCAGCTGCTGGAGTACCTAGTAATCCTTTTATGGTAAGTGAGATTCAAGGATAAGGACTTTATAAGTTGTTGCATCTCATTTTCCAGTTTGAAAAAACAGGGTATAAATATTCCTGCATGCTCTTTGGTGTTCTACTGATAAAGCATCTGGAGATTATACAAATTGAGACATCCTTATCTGATCTTGAAAAATAATTAGTTGCAAATCAACACAGTGACCATAAATAAGCTATTTTGCAATAAGAAATGTACGTGCTTTTTCTCAAAATACTGTTTTAGTAGAGAGCATGGGATTAGTAAATCAGTATGAAAGAATCTTAGTGTCCTTTTTGGGCTCTTAAGAATCAGAAGTTTTTCTTTTAAAGGGCCAAGTCCCTAGAAACTATTAGAGCAATCATATGAGATTATGGTTGATAAAAGCATAGTTCCTGATACAAAATTTTTAACTTTTTCCATTAACAGGTGTGAATGTTGTCAATACTAAAAAAATAATTCTTAAACTAAGTAAAGTTTAAATAAGATTAAAGTAAGTACAGTTTAATGTTTTCTTATTTTGCACATGCACCACTTTTATTTGTCTTGTGTTTTTTCTTTAGACTGGTCCACCAACAGGACAGTTTCCAACAGGGAGCTCATCAACCAATCCTTTCTTATAGCCTTATATAGACACTTTACTGGAACGAACTTTTCTGTGGTCACATTACATCGCTCCGCCTCTTGCACTGTTGTCTTGTTTCACTGATCTTAGCTTTAAACACAAGAGAAGTCTTTAAAAAGCCTGCATTGTGTATTAAACACCAGGTAATAAGTGCAAAACAGAGGGCTCTGGTAACAACTTTTAACCTGTGAGTTGGCAGAAAAAGATAGCGGTATCATGTATATTAAAAATTGGCTAATATTAAGTTATTGCAGATACCACATTCATTATGCTGCAGTACTGTACATATTTTTCTTAGAAATTAGCTATTTGTGCATATCAGTATTTGTAACTTTAACACATTGTTATGTGAAAAATGTTACTGAGGAGTTAGATCAGCCACTTTTAAGGTGCTGTCATACACTTGGAATGAATGAACTAAAATCATTTTAACCATACTACTGGAAAGTTACAAAGGCAAAATTGGAAGGTTTTATTCATTCTTGAATTTTTCCTTTCTAAAGAGCTCTTCTATTTATACATGCCTAAATTCTTTGAAAATGTAGAAGGATACCTGTCTGCATAATAAAGCTGATCATGTTTTGCTACAGTTTGCAGGTGGAAAAAATAAATATTAGAAAATATGCTATTGTTTTGTGTTCTTGCTGCAATGCCTTTACCAAAGTGGCCTTAAATATGAGTAGTGAATTGAGAACATCTTGAATTCTTAAAGACTTCTAGTGACTAACTTTTTATAAAAAGGCCATGTAGAAAATTTATTAAAACTACTAAGACTGCTATATTCAGGAATATTGTCAGTGGTAAAAGCATTTAAATGTAGCTTGTCAGATTCACCAGTAATACTTCTAATTTCTTTACAACTTGTTAATTTTGTGAAATTTGTATATATGAAGAACTGCATGTATGTATGTGTATTTACAAATTTTTTAAAAGATCTTGAATTGTCAGACTGCAAAAGGCCTATTTTAACTATTGATTTTTAAATTTTGTCTTTGAATGTATTGGAAGCGGACATGGATTAACTGTGACATGATTGCACCTGTTTTGTTTTGTTTTGTTTTGTTTTTTTTCCCCCTTTGCCGGACAAACTGATATTATCTATAGGACATTTGTTTATGTTTGTCTTCTGGGGAAAAAACTGGAACCCAGTGTTAGGTTAAATTTATGGAATACGTTGTTTAAAGGCAGTGATACTAAGTTTAGTTATATCTTTTTGTTAATATTGAAATGAACTTGTTTAACTATTTATATATATAGTAATGCCTCCTTCATCTAGAGATAATCTGGCTGTCTCATCAAAACAGAACCCAACTAAGAAACTTGCAATTGTTTTTTAAAAATGCCTCTGAGCAATCCATATGTCATAAAGTCTGTATGTTAGAGCACACACCTTTGTTATTTAAAATTTAAATAATTTTGATTATTTGCTTTCTTAGCCCTGTAGCATATTAGTAGTTGAGAAGTGATGACTTGGAAAGGAGACTGAAAAGACATGAAGCGCATACACCGTCCGTGACGCTTATTATAGGGACAGCCAGCCCAGTTTAAAAGACATCACTGTATCACATACTCTTATGATAATGGTCTGTCATTATAGCTCTGCCACCAGGAAAGGGTGAAATTGGTTATTTAAATATGTAATACCTGTATGAAAAGTTTATCTTAAAATGATTCAAAAGTTTTGAAAAGCATTGGCATTAAAAGAGATGAATATCACTTTCCTCAAATAGTTATTCATGTTGAATGCCTTTTGCATTGATGGCTACATGAGTTGTTGTCCTAGTGTTTTAGAAATCTCTCTGGTATTTTGGACTTGGTGTCCAGTGCCCATCTAACTGGAAGTATGGCTTATCTGAACTGTCTGATAAGCAAAGTGGCTGGGAAATCTGGCCCTTTTCTCAGCAGACTGCCTCTTAGAATGAAACAATCGCTACACAGTTCCGTGTGTGTGTGGGTATAGTCTTAAAGTGTTTCTACTTTAGGGAGCGGTCCCTCAACCCATTTTTCATGGAAATAAAACTTAAGACATGTCTTTGAATTTCTGTTTTAGCTTGTATCAAGTCCAAATAAATTCATATGTGTAAAATTATATAATTGTAGGCCATTACCCAAATAACCTACCAGGCTTTCCATTTAAGAAGTAAATTAAACAATTGTTATCAAAATAATTTTAAAGACTATTTTTTTCCTGGGTAAATCTTGAAGTTTGTAATTAAATGGGAACTTTTATTGACTTATTTCTAATGAATACTTAAAAAAAAAAATCAAGTGTTTAAGAAGAGACCCAGCTTTAAAGTGGATTTTCTTATGATCTTTATTGCTTAAAAAATAAAAAATCAACTTCTATTCAGCTTTTATATTCAGATTTGCTTCTAGCTTTATATAGACCACCAAAATTGTGTTGAATACTAAAAAAGAGAAAAATAAAAATAAAAAGAAAGTCCTTGAATGCGAGAAGGCTTGAAGACTTTGAAACTTACTGGGATACTGGTTGAAGAATCAAATCGTTCCTGTTATATCCTTGTCCAAGAAAGAAATTTGTCTTTTAGGTTGGTAAGAACTTTGTGTAAAGGTGTATTTTATTGTTTTTTGAAATAGAAAATGTTTTACTCTCCATTTTTGTGAAATTAGAGATTAGTTTACTGTTTTCTTCCTTCAAAAGCAAATTTGAAAAAGCATATTAGTTTTCACCTGTGAGGACCCCTGCTCTCAGCACATCTCCTTTGGTACAGAGCTGTGTGTTGGCAGGGTTGAGAGGACAACCACCTGCAACTTTATGCTATAGCAACAGTTCTGGAACATTTTGGTCTCAGAACCATAACTTTTAAATATTCCTGAAGATCTCCAAATAGCTCTTTTTTATGAAATTGGTGTCTTTCAGAATATATAAAAATGATTAGAGGTAGTTTTAAAATGTGTATGCATTCTAAGTATAACTGTAATCCCACTGCTTGTTATTATACATGACATATTTTATGTAAAATAACTTTTCCAAAACTAAAAAATAGGAGCATTGTTCTACCTTTTGCACATCTTTTTAATATCTGGCTTAATAGAGACAATGAAGTTATCATACTGCTTTTTCATTCCCATTTTATTTTCTATATCCTGTAGCATGAAGGCTGTAGAAAACTATACTGTGTACTTGAGAAATCTTGAGTGTGCAAAAGGCATAACAGGGGCTGGGGATTTAGTTCAGTGGTTACATCACCTGTCTTGAAAGTGCAAGGACCTGAGTTCGATCCCCGGTACCAAAAAAAAGGCATGTAACATCTGCATATTACGAAACTAGTTTGACCTTGTACAGCTTTGACCCTATACAAGACCTTGTGGACTCTCAAAGATTTCCAGACCACACTTTGGGAACTTTACATTTGTATGTTTCCTGAACAGTATTTCCTTGTGGAGTAAACACTCTACTTCCTACACTAAGATTTTTTTTATTTGTTTACTTAGTGGGAAAAAACTGAAATTCCAGTTGAAATTACAAATTTCTTAACATGGCTTTAATTGTTTCAATGCAATAATGGTGATATAGAGCAAGGCTTTTAGTATATCAGGCATTTGCTAACTGCTTTTCTTAAATTCTCACATATGATCCACAGGCATAGAAAAGTGAAGCTAGTTACAGTTTTGCTTTTGGGAGTAAATATTTTATTGTTGGACTAAAAAGATGACATTTATGTGAGTAGATTCTTTTTTAATCTTTTGAAATTTCAGGTTTTTATATCTTACATACCTAAAAATACATACTCATTTACCTTGAATTTCTTTCATAATTTGATGAAATTAGTACAGCTCTTTTCTAGAGTTTTAATTACACTTTAGAATAAGGTAAATAGTAGAGCATATTTTAAACTGATGACACATCCAAGGTATCACAGTGATTCCCATTTTGTGAGGCATCGCACCTTTATTGATGTATTTTGTGACCTCTTCAGTTTTAAAATTTCCTTTTTTTTTTTTTTGGGGGGGGGTTACCGGGGA